ATCAGGCTGGGGTGGGAGGGAGGGAGGGAGGGGGGCGCCCCCCAGGCCCGGTGCCAGGGCCCTGGCGGAAACCGTAACACTTTTCTTGGACTCACACCAGCCTGTGGACACCGTGGGCAGCAGAGTGACCCAGGCGAGTGACTTGGGCGCTGCGCTTCTCTCGGCAACTTCTCGGGAATACGCTGTCCGCGACCTGGTTCCGCCCCTGGTAGAAATGAAACTTGCTTACTGCGTAGACGAAAAGCCATGGCAGTCAGCGGACTCGCCTAGCGGTGCCGCGGGTGGCCCCTAGGCGCTGCTGCCCTGGGAGGTGTCGCAGTTGGGATCGCGAAGGTGGGAGGGGAGTCGGCGGAGTGGGGCGAAGCTGAGCACAGGTTGGTAGCCCGCAGACCTAGGCGTCTCGGCGGGGCGACCTCGCAGCGCGGGGGGCTTCACCCATCCTCGCTGGAACCTCGGGTTAGGGCTGGACCCCGCGGGAGGGTCGGTTCAGCCCCTTTCCTTTTGGTTCGGAGTAGGAGGAAGGCTTCCGCGGGGTTGCTCAAGTCCTTGGTTAGGGACCTGCTGCTTTTTAACTTTTGTTTTTTATGGAGTTCTAACGTGCACACAGGGCAGCGCTTGAAGTATCGATGAGGCGTTCAGGAGGGCCGTGTAGTCGTTTGTCTCGTGACCATTGGTGTTCGGGCTATTTGGGAGGTGGGTTAGGAACCCGAACCTCCCCAGGAAGTGCAGTGAAGACGATTCAAGTCTCCTGAAGGGAGACTCTGGGCTCGGCCCAGCTGCCCTCCGGGGCGGATGAGAGTGGCCATTGTTGGCTACACTCACCTTTCAACATGTGTAACTTGGCAAGGACTTGGCTGGGAAGGGAGCAAGGCAGCCAGGCCAGGGTGGTAGGAGCGCTTCCGAGGAGAGTCGTGCTGAGGCTCAAGTCCCCGGAGGTACCACGGCGGGGGGGGGGGGCCGAGACCCGAGACCCGCACAGACTGCCCGCTGAAGCGGGTGGGGCGGGGACGAGAGAATGCTGACTTTTCTCTTCGCTTTCAGGGGAGCGGTCTGAGCTGCACCAGCAGGAATTCTGTCCTTTGCCATTGTTGTTTGTGAAGATGGAAAACTTAATATCTCGGGAGCCAAGCTTTTCCTTGAGATAACTGAAACTTATGCCTTAAGGTATACCCTATCTGTAGCGTGCACTCATCCTCCACAGGGCGTGTTCAGAGAGCAGCTAGAGTATGCTGTAGAGAGTTGTTCAGGTAGCTGTGGGGAGAGTCCCGTGGAAATATGAAAACAAAAACATAACCAGCTTCTCTGCCACGAGGCTTCTAAATTGTTACCCCAAACAACGGTCCCTAATTTCACAAGGAACATCCGTGTGTGCATGTGGAGTTAAACAGCGACACTCTGTGTGGACTTGTTTCCACAACACCTTCCTCATATCGAGAGATTAAGTTGAAGTAACTCTGAAGGGAAGGACTTGGCCCTGGGCCTGTTTGTCAGAATGAATGTGAGTTAGCCTCGCACCAGGGGCCCCCCGCTCCTTCCTCTGCTCTAGTCTGAGCTCCAGAAGCTCCAGGAAATCCTACCCTGAGTTGCAGAAGCTCCCGCCAGAGCCCCTCTCCCAGGGGCGCCCCCCTAAGCCTCCATGCCCAGAGGTCAAGGCCAGAGCAGACTGTGGACATTTTGCACCATCCACCAGAGGACAGAGCAGTCCTCGTCCTTCCTAACGTCCAGGGAACCGGCGGCAATAAAGATAACTTAGGGTGGACCGTAATGCCCTTGCTCTGCCAGTGCAGTGACCAACTCTTTCGATACTGAATTAGAAAATGACTTTTTTTTTTTTAACTGCTCAAGTAAGTGGTACCTTGTCTTCATCTTTGAAATGTTGTGTGCACGGGGTCAATCACTAAAGAGTGAGGAGCCGTGAGCTCTGAGTGGGTGTGCTAAACCTTGCTCGCGCTACCGAGAGAAGCTGTGGAAGCCCCAGACTAGTTTTGGGAGTTAAACTAAACTTGTGCTTTGGTTTCTCGGTTCCACCCCAGACTGGGCTGTATCTGTTATTGTGAGAGAGAGTGTGTGTGTGTGTGTGTGTGTGTGAGAGAGAGAGAGAGGGGTGGGGGGAGAAGGGGAAGCAATGCAGAGTCTGAGGTGTTACTTGGAATAAAATATTACTCGGGTTAGATAAGGTTCATTGCTTTATTGTGTGGTCACTGAAGTAAACAAGGCAGTAAACATGTTCTGCCACGCGGTGCCTTGACTGTAGCATGTTACACTGGCGTGCGCGATTATCATGAAGCAGACATCTGTGGGTAAAGGCACGCTGGTGTGTTTACAGCCACTTGGCTACAGCGGTGCTGCTGACCTGTGCTGCTTCGGGGGTTCCTGGTCTCAGGCTTTTTTATTCTTTCACTAATGCGTTATAAGGAAGTTCACATTTGTAGTTGAAATGGTTTAGAGGAAGCACCTTGGCACCGACTCTGTCAGGAGTCGCCCTGTGAATTGATGAGAGTGAATGGATTTTGGACAGCTGTCCCCGATAGCTGCTCTAGAACTGTTTCGGGGCTTCTTGGAACAACAGGAAAAAACTAACACGAAGAAACAATTGCTGGTGTTCAGCAGCTCTCCCGGTATGATGTTTTCAGTGTCCGAGCCTTTTGGGGTCCTGGCCACTGACCCGCTGTCAGTGTTTATTTCTTGGATGACAGGATTGAGTCAGTAAGTGGCTAAGTGCTTCCGAGGCTGGTTTGTGCCAGGTGCTGAGGAGGCTGAGGGAACGGTATGTGGAGAGGCCTGGGACTGCCCCGGATGCAGGAGGAGCTGGGCAGCTCAGTGTCCTCGGGCAGGATGTGTGCTCACTGTGGGCGCCCAGAGCAGGGCCTGGCACACAGAGGCTCAGTGGGCGCAGCGCTTGCTGGCACAGGCAGCCCTTCCTCTCAGAGGGGAGGCCGGCTTCCGGTAGGTGTGGTCCAGGTGGGCCAAGGTGCTGGAGCTGTGGGGATCCGAAGCTCCTAGACCAGTGGTTCTCAACCTTGGCTGCACATTAGAATCACCTGGGAATCTTTTTAAAATCCTGATTTCTGGGCCTCATCCTCCGGAAATTCTGTTTCTTTGTTACTAATGTTGTGGCCCCACCACATAACAAAGAAACAGAATTTCCGGAGGATGAGGCCCAGAAATCAGGATTTTAAAAAGATTCCCAGGTGATTCTGATGTGTAGCCAAGGTTGAGAACCACTGTCCTAGACTGAAATGCTGAGTGGTTCCTGGGCCTTTTTCTAAATGGAGGCCTCAGGGGTATAGGTTTGGAGCTGGGAGGCTGTGACCACTAATTGGCCCACAGCTGAAACCCCTCAAGCTGTTAACTTGCTCCCTTCAGCACCTCCCATCCACCCCACACCGGCCCCCGGCACGACACCCGCAGCTTTTCTCTCCCCATGTGCCCTCGGTGGTCAGTTCTGCTGAATCTTCGTCTTTTGACGTGTTTGTTTTCCACTGCCTTCACTGACCTAGTTCAGGGCCCTGCAGACGGCAGCTCGATGAGAGCAGCAGTCAGCTCCTCTCCCTGCCCGCCCAGTTCTCCATCCCAAGCTCTTGGGTTGCTACCTTCATAACCCGCAGGCTGAGCTGAGCGTCTTGTCAGGACCTGAACCTTCCTGACCTTCTGTTTATTCTCGACCTTTTGCCTCGGAGTCTTCCCAGCTGTCCTGCCTTGCCTCCCAGGACACATACTCAGAGGTTTGATCAAGCTAATGCTGCTCCTCCCTCACCATCCTCCAATCCATCTTCGGACCCTTCTCAGAGGCTTCTGAGCTAACCCCATCTGAGGGTCCCCTCAATCCCTGCCTCTCCTCTTAAATACTCCTGACAGTTCTGCTTTGTGTCTTACTTTCTACTCTTTTCAATCTCATCTTCAATTGGACACACACACAAAGTCCCGTCTCTGTCTCCGTATTACCTCCCTGAAGCACCTGTGAGGAGAACGTCATCCATGAATCCTGAGCCGCTCCCATCCCTTGTGCTGACATAGCTGCTGTCGCCTTGCTTAGCCCTCAGGAGGGTGGGAGAAGGGGCAGTCTTCCACCTGGCCTGGCTGGCTACCCCTCACCCCAAACACACCATGTCTATTTGTCCCTGACCTGTGCTTGCAGTAGTGGAGAGGTAGGCATGAGGACCCCCGTGGCCAGCTGACTGTGCGGTCCTGGAGTAGCTGGGAGGTAGCTGCGTAGGAGGCCCACTGATCCAGAGCAGAGATGGGGGACACCAGCTGAGTACCTGCGCGTGTCCGGGTGCTGGCCTGGGTCTCCCATGCCCAGGCCCTTGTGGTCTTGATCCTGACCTCCTCCTCTGAGGCTGCCGTAGTTGTGTCGACACCTGAGTTCTGGCCCTGGCAGCGCCTCTACCTCTCAGGCTTCAGTTTCTTCATCGTAATAAGGACCATAGACCAGCGCTGTCCAGTAGAAATGTGAGAGCCTCAATGAAGTTTCTAGTCGTCACATTAAAAAGTAAACATAAAAAAACCAGGTGAAAATAACTTTATTTAACCCATCATGACCAATATCATTTCAATTTAAAATAATATAAAAATATTGATGAGCTGTTTTACTTTTTTTTGTCTCGTACTGAATCTTTGAGATCCCCGTGTGTGTTTTACATTCACAGAACGTCTGAATTTGGACTTGCCCATTTCTAATGCTCAGCAGCCCCATGAGGCTGTGGGTACAATATTGGGCAGTGCCAGCCTCCACCATCTGCAGACATGCTTGACTCTCAAATTCTGACTCTACTTGTGTGGGAGGCAAGAGTTAACACATTTATGGAAGGAGAGTGTCAGCTAGGGCATAAGCTCTACAAGGGCAGAGGTCTTTGTCTCATAAGCTTCTAGAACAGCACTGGGAACACAGCAGGCACTCACATATTTGAAAAGAATGAAAGGAAATTCAGTCATGGTGGCCACCTCATTGGTAGTCATTCAGCTGTGAATGAGACCTGACCCTAGAGCACAGGATGTTTGATTTCTGGCCCAGCATGCCCTGTTCTGTTTTTCTACAGGTGAAAATGCTCATAAGGTGATCAAAGAATTTCAGATCAAATCTGAGGGGGCCGGGGACCAGGACTCCACAATTTATCAACAATTAAAATTTGAAACTGCAGTGGGAAATACCTTTCCAGTGAAAGGTTGTATGAGATGCCCAGTGACAATAGCGCCCGACTTGGTAAATGCTGATGTAATGGTAATCATCCTAGGGAGTTACAGTCATGGCCCGTGTGACTCCACACATCGGTGCACTAAAGGCAAAGTGAAGTGGCTTGGCTACCGGAAGTGCATTTGCTGCAGAAATAGGTACCACCCTACGGTTTGGCCCCTTTACTTTAATCCCACCCCCTCACCCCCGATTTTGTACACTTACCCACATCTCTGTTCTTAGCAGCATTTATAATGTTGTCTGAGGGATCGCTGAGCCTGCTGCCGTGCTCAGATCTGGAGGTCAGGTAGCTGCTACGTGAATGTTAACTCCAGGGAAGGGCTGTGCGAGCTAAAACCTGGATGGAACCTTGTGCATAGTTGGCGTCCGCACTGAAGTGGAGGCCAGCCCGGGCATAGACATATGTGAGAGGGGTGCATATGTGTCTAATGTATGTGAAGTGCATTTGAGCATCAGAGAACGGCTCGTGCCTTTCCTGAGAAGGCCCAGGGATGCTGCTAGAGGACCGAGGACCTGCTTGGCACAGCTGACAGCTGACCGGAGCTCTAAGCTGGAGAGTTGGATGGTAAAGTCGCCTGTAGGAGCAACCCTTGGTCAAACCTGGAGGCTGTCGGCCCCTGAGCACTGTGGATGCAGGTGACCTTGGTCATCCTTACAGTAACGGTCTCCTGCTAGAGGTGGCCCTGGTTTCCCGGTTTAGTCGGTCTCTAAAACAGGATGGCCAGCTCTGGGCATCTCTCCAATGAGGTCAGACCGGTAGCATCTCTGACTTAGAAAGAGGCCTTTGGTAGGAGAGCGTGGGCCACCCAGCAGCAACAAGGATTATTTCCATTTCGAGTTGCATAGCTAGCACTTAATAATGCTGACACCTTGGGAAAATCAAGGCTTCTCAGCTTAGCTTCCATCGAAAGGTGTCTATGTTCCGACCTTGTTAGTATCTGCATTGGCAGCCATTTCCGCAGACCCCTGTACGCCCTCAGGTCTGCGTGTCCGTTACACGTGGGCCAGTGTTTTGATTCTGTTTGTGCTGCTGTGGAGCCCGGTGTTATCTCCCCAGCCACACTGGCTGAAGCACCCTGTTTTGACTGACGGGATGAGCTTTCTGTTTCGAGTCTTCTCAGGGCGGGGTCTGTGGACAGAGCCCCGTCCTTGATAACCACAAAGACTGTGTGTTGGCATCAGCGGGGAGGAGGAACTTGGGAGGGAAGGATGTGGTGCAAAGCAAGGCGCCGGCCCAGGGCCTCTCTTTCTCCAGCGCAGGCAGCGTCCGGGCGCTGTGGGAATCTGCCCCAGCTTCTCAGCCCCGGGAAACTAACTAGTGTCAAGTGGCGAGGAGGATGCTGATGACCCAGAGAAAACAGATTGAGACCTGAGTGTGACCAGGGGCCCAGAGTGAGAAAAGCCCATCTGCGGGTTTGTTGTTTAGAAATGTTTTCTCTGGGCACAGCTCGGTGGCCCGGGGCAGCCATTGGAACCGAGGGAGAATGTGTTTGTGGGTGTTTGCATGGGCAGCTGTAAACATAACTTCGTGGAAAAAGGAAACAATAAATTTCATTGCCCTTTTCACAAACAAGGCATTATTTTATCTGGTCCTGTTGCCTTGGGCTGTCTATTAATGTGAATGTTTAGTCCCTGTGCGTTAGGCACAGGTGTGCCTCAGTTATCTGGAACTTTCTAATGTGCTTGGGGGCAGTGGCCAAGGCTCCAGAATCCCCTCTCCTCCCTGCGGTGGGGCCCAGGCCCTGGTGAGGGGCTGCAGCCGGCAGACAAAGGGCTCGCTCAGGCTTCCCCGGGTCCCAGATAACTTCTGGCCTTCACCCGTCTAGGAATTCGAGGAGTCAGGGAGGTTTGCTCTTCAGAAGGCCACCTCCACCTTGGCCCTGGCTCTGCTCCCTTCCGCCCGCTTATCTGCCGCTGCACATGGTCGTCCGAAGTGCCTGCCGTTTTCCTCAGGACAAAGGACTCTCAAGGGTCAGACTAGATGCCGGTGGGAATGTGGCAGGTGTCCAGTCCCAGGTGCACTGCGCACTCAGGGGGTGCTCTGTGCCAGCTGCTTCCGCTTCCTCCCTCCTGTGCTGCCTGGGTCCTGCTCACTCTTGCAGATGGGCCTGCCTCGTCCCTGCAGCTCCAGTCGGGTTACCTGTTTCCTTGTCTGCGGGAGTGTCCTGTCCAGTAGGTGGACCCTCCCGGTCTCCCCGCCACCGGACCGAGCCCTGGCGGCCCCTTTATGCTGTGAGCAGAGCCAGTACCTTAGGTGCCCAGATCCGGAAGGGTCAGCCCATCCCTGCAGCCTCCCTCCTGTGCCATTACTTCTCTTCCTGATGCTTGTCCAGCAAGCGGACTCCCAGCTCCTTCCTTTCCTGGCTCCTCCCTTCTGCTTCTTCTGAAATCACTGCCTTGCCCCCCAGCCAGCATCCTGGCGCTGCCTCAGGAGAGGACCCAGGCCTTCATCTCCAGCCACTGTCCCTTTAACACAGCATTAGCATAACTGTTAGAGTTTCTATGTGGAATTACACTCCCCCCCAAATCCAGGATGGGTCTGAGGGGTGCAGTTCTGTACTGACGGCTGTTAGTTCAGTTCTAAATGCGCTTGTCTTGCTTTCAGCACCTGCCATCTGACCTCCCCAGGGGGCTCAGCACACCTTTCCCTCCGTCTGGTAGAAAACCCTCCCCACCTCCCTCCCCTCTCCCACCTTCTTCCCCTTTCCTGCCTCCCTCCCCTCTCCTGCCTCCCTGCCCTTTCCTCCCTCTTGCTGTCCTC